TGCCATAAGTAAAGATACAGGAGGTGATTACTTGGTTCATTTTGTACAGGTAAACCTTCAGCTGGAGAAGGTATTTCCAGTTGGGGACCACCCTTCAAAAAAAAAAAAAGAAAGATAATCTGCAGTATGTCCCAGAGAGACAATAAAGAAGCTGACATGATCCAGGAGGAGATACTGAAAAAATAGCTTAGTTTAGTCTAGAGAAGAAAAAGGTTGTTTTGCTTTGCTTGTTTTTACAGAAGGGAGGAACAACACTTGATGTACCTTATTACTATAAAGGGAACAGTGATAAATTATTCTCCATGACAACCTGAAGAGTAGAAGAAAGAAGTGGCCAAATGCTTTGCTATTCATGCAAAGAAAACCTAGGTTGGATCTTAGGAAAGCTCTTTCTAAACATTATTCAACTCTTTTGGAGGTTCTTAAACACAAGAGTTGGCAAAAATATAGGTAAAATTAATGCTGCATCAGTGCAATGGCTTTACACCTGAGCTCTTGAATCCCTTCCAGTCCTACTTTTGTATTTTTCTAACCCTGGCTTGCAAGTGCTTTGTTAAAATTAAGTCAAAAGTTTACTCTCTAGGAAAGTAAGAAAGAAAGATCCTAACTTCAAGGCAAACAGGAGCACAAAAACTAGTGATGTAAAGCGTCTCACTAAATAATCAGGTAAATTAGTCACAAATATCAATGTGCCTTTGCTATCTAATCAAATTACTTGTGTGTATCACTTAAAGAGTATATACATCCCAAACAGAAGGTCTTAGAGGGTAAGAACTCTGCATCTATCCCTCTCCACCAGTTACACCAAATAAATTCAGAATAACTCCCTCTGTTTTCAAGCAGTTTTGCTGGACTATCACACTTCCAATGAGAAGAATAAGGATCAAAAAAGAACAATGAGCAAGGCAGGTGATACTGTCTTTTCACAGTGAAGCAGCCCACTCTTTGCCAACAGCAGTTAGATGCACTATGCATGGACTGAAATTACATATTGTAACAGATTTCTTTTAAATTACCATCCCCAGAACAAACCTGGCATGTCGGATAGAAGCAATTGCATTACTGAATTCACTGTCAATGCTTCTACAGTTGTAAAATTCTTCATAGGCTGGCCTGGAAGAGCCTTGATATTCAATGCGGCTGATGCGACATATTCCCACAATCAGAATGATGAGCATCAGAACAAATGCTACGCAGAGAGCCCCAATTATGATGTAGAGTGAGTGACGAGGCATATTTGTTAGACTCTCTGCCATACGCCCAGACTTCCACTGCAGATCTACCAATAAGAAATAAAAGGTTATCATTAATTAAAATTTATCCTTCCTACTGAATAGAATTCTTTTATGGTATTCACTTTCAATATTTCTGTGGAGACTTTTGAAGCTAGGAGACAATGAAACTTCAACCTTCCCAGGCTCTGTTATGGATTTGTCACCATACCTAACATATGACAAATTTGAATAGCACCATCTTGATCCTTCAGCTGTCTTTTTTGTAGTTTTTTAAGGTCATATACAAACACTGTCTAGTGTGATCTGCTGTATAACCCAAGTCATAGAAAGGGATCTAGTTATTCTCGCGTTATGTTATAATATACTATATGGTCTCTAAAGGCAGGCAGGTTTTACGTAAAAGGTTCTAGTAATCCACCAGTTCTCTGTGCAGTTGGTTAGTGAACCCTTCTACTAAAACGTGTAATTTACTATGTATTAAACATGCTTGGTTTTTAATTTGAAACACAGGCTTTTGTTATGCATATCTCCACCAGGCTGCAGAGACTTCAAAACTAGCATTTCAAGGATACGAAGAGCATCTCATAAGGTGCTACAATACTGAGTCCACTAGAGTCTTCTCTCAAGCTTAATTTCTCTGAGAAGTCTCAAAATGGACCCTAAAGTAAAGACAATCTGAAAGAGGTTTCTTGTATTTATATATTCCAGACCTTCTTTATAAATATTATTGATGCCTAAACTGTTGTCTATCAATGCCAAACAGATTGTCTATCAATTGCCTATGTCCTCAGATCTGGTTTTCTCTAGCATGGGTCAGAGTATTTCTAATTAACTTGTACTCCCCTCTAGGGCTCATGTTTGGCAGTCTTTTAAGCCTATGGTCTCATAAATTACTTCAAACCTTGAATTAATTAAAAATCAGGAACGGGCTTGAATCATTCTTGACTACCAAAATCTGACAGTAGGCAAAAGCTATTTCTAGCAGGTGAATGTTCCTTTTCCAAAGGGACTTCTGCTTTGCACTAGTTTAGAAACTCCCTTTACTTAATCACAAATAGTCTGGGAACAGGGCTATCAAGCTCATGCTTTGGGAATTTAAAATATTCTTAGAAGCCAGTTCTCAAGGACATTGATGATAGCAGTTATACTGAACTGAGCATCTGAGCTGAAATCACAAGTTCAGTGGCATTGGCATCTGCTGATATAATCTCCATCTATGGTAGAAATACAAGGGAAGCATAAGTAGAGGAAAAAAAATTCATTTTAGAGGAAAGTAGGGAGAAAGTCTGAAGCTGTAAAACATGAGATTCAACTCAGAAGAGTTTGAAGAAATTATTGCTCTTTGTTTACAGCAGTAAAGGTAATCCTGGAGCACCTCTGAGCTTGGGCTTGCTTAGACTTTTGTCTGCGAATGTGAGCCAAGGACTGCTTGTTTGTGTTATCTTCTTCAGTAGAGTTTTGGTCAGCCTAAATCATTCAGTGATTTAATGTTTCTAAAGTACTGTTACTGCAATCTGCCCAGTCAGGATATGGGGGAGAGAATGCAGTTGTGCTCTGTGCCATTTGGGATGGATTTCTATTTCTGTTCTGCAGCACATTCATCACACACAGTGGTTTGAGTCAGGTTGTCACACTAAGCCAAATTCAAATCTAATGTGCACAGATACATGGCAAGACAGTTCTGATTTAGACTTCGCGTCTTCTATCTCTGGATGATAAGGACGACAGAAATTTCCTCCTTTCTTCCTCGCCAGATAAAAATATGAAGAATAAGAACTTATACTCCAAAGACTAGAAAGACCATATGATGGCTCAAAATAATTTAAATTAAATTATTTAATTTTTAAAATTAATTAAGAATTATGCTTCAATGTGCACCACACAGTCTGTACTACAAATACTTTGTCATGTTAGTTTTCAAGTAACCACATGGTTTGGCTTACCTTGGTAAATACAATAATTGCAAAAGTGGCAAAGATAATGATATTAACTAATAACCAGCAGCCATTAGAGAATTCACACAAGACATTTTGTAAGCATTTTTACAGTGAATGCTCCATTTTACAGTGAATGCTTTTAATTTTGAAAGGAAAAATAGTCTTTGTATAATTAAGACTGATTTAATCCTACTGCTAACACTGGTAAGGACCGTAAGATGATATAATAAATACCACAATTCATCCAGGCAACATACATCTTGTCTAGTTTGTTGTATATAACATTAGAAAGTACAGTTTGACAAGATAACCCTGAAATTCTGTTAGGGTAGTCACTTCTTGCAGATAAAACAGCTGGTGAAAAAATGGAAAACTACTAATAGTATACGGAAAGTTGTTCTACAAAAAAGACAAAGTACCAACAGCCTCCTTCATTGCTAGTAACAGAAAATCGCAAAAGCTAAAATGTGATCCATTTAGTCAAATGGCTCCTGAACACCAGCTTGTTCTCCTCTTGAGAAGTCTGAGGCCTGGCTTCATCATGTCTTTTTCCAGCATTCAGAGGGACGGTCCAATAAAAAGGAAGAGAGTATACACTGTTAAATTTAATTTTCAATACATTATTAACCATTATGTACAAATTACTGAAACAATATGGTAAGTATGACAAGGATTTACTATTTACTTATAGTTTCAATCTTTGGAGCTGAACAGAAATCCAGTGCACCACGGACTCAGCTCCAATGAGATCAGAAGTGCTGCACCTGTTTATAAAAGAGCTGGATATGGTCTTTCGAGATATGATTAGAATTGGGTTCACATTAGTTGGTCAACTCATAGCTCAGGGAAAGACACTGAGCACAAAGATCTTCCCATGGATACATAGTACTGTAGAAAAAAATCTGCAGATCAAAATACTTTAAAATCCTTTCTGCAAAGTGATTTCTTCAAAACTCAGTTTCTCTCTATTTGCATAATACTTTATATACCTGTTAACATCCAAGAGATTTAGGATTTATGTATAAGCCACTGCACTGGTTATAGAGGCTGCATGTCCATACTTCTTTCTGACTGTTGTGAAGTGTCACAGTGTCACATAACATCATTTTACATTGATACTGTGTCAAAGTGACTTTAATAGCAAAGGAACATCAGACATTTGCTGATGTTAAGCTTATTGAAGAACCAATTGGTAACCCTCGAATTTTAAACTCAATTGTTCTTCAAAATGCATCTTTATGTGACTATGCAAGGATTTTTTTCCCTGTTTTCATTCCTTCAACACCAACTCAAACCAGAATTTCCTAGATTGGATTTTCTTGGTATCTCCCATATTATTAACATCATCATCATATTATTATTATATATATATACACCCTACTAGCTATCATGATTTGTTGGATACAAAATACAGTAGCTTCAACCTCTTCAATTAAGAACAATTGCCATGAACAATACTATATGATTTATTCTTCAAATACTGAGATGGAAAGAAAAGTTCTAATATTTCTAGTTGATAATCAGCCTTGCAGTGTTATACAGATACTTCCCTGCCTCCTGACACAGCAGTCACAAGATAAAACAGTAAATCAGTAAAAGGCTTAAAACATCAACAAAAAAAGTGCTGTTGCTTCTTCTCATCATTTTGACCTACACAGTTTGCAAGTGTGTGATAAAAGCAGAAAACCCAAGTTCTTGAGTAGCAGGCAAGGCCACTGCAGCTCAACTATAAGCAGATGCTATGTGTAGAGAAATATGCACTAAGCAGAGGCAACCCCTCACTTGAGAGAACAAAGTTTAGGCTGATTTTTATCCAGTCTCTCATATACTTACAAGCAAGGTTGGAAAGACCAACCACAGATGTAAGATTGAACCTCCCTGTCATATATAGTGCCTAGGGGCACGCATGCCTCACAGGGGGAAGCTGGAATAATTGAGTAGCTGGGCAGTAGAAAAGGCTCCTTCCACTCTTTGTTCTGCTTTTCCCATTTTCCCATGTGTTTATGTGCTATCCCTGCAACATTAGCTGTGCTAAGTGGTGTAAAACCCCTCACACAACCTTGTGTATCTGTATATCTTGAGGGGATCTATGACCACAGTATGTGAGCATTCAAGCAGTTAAATACACAGCTAAACTCCCTAGTAAAGACAAGATATGTAGCCCAGGAACAAGACATCAGGGAAATACGAAGCAGCTCCATAAGCAGCAGAACTAATGAAGCCTAATTTCTGTTTTAACCCTCCCACAGCTGGGCTTCATACTTTCTTCCTCTCATGGACTCTGTACATGCTCATAAGGGTGCACTTACACTGAAGCTTTTCTCCATACTAAGAATTGAAATCGCATTGAAGCTGTTCCTCCACTAGATCCACCAGTGGAACCTAAGTCTTACTAAATGCTTACTAAAGATTTTGTTTTGTAAAATTTTACCTTTCTAACAATTTCGGTTGAAATTGGCCTATAGTTGAAAATATTATTCCTGAAAAAGTTAGTAAATGCATGCACACACAAGTCACAGTACAATTACACAGGACTTGTTTCCTTAGCTAAGTAAGGTAAAATTTTTTTTCCTGAAACATTGCTACAAGTGCAGGTACTCAGAAGTTGACAAAGGTCTGTTAGAACCACGCTTATAGCACTACGAAAATACACTTTACCCAATGTAAGTATGAAAGTAAGCTCTGAAGCATAAGTGCAATTAAAAGGCAAACTGCTCAGTGCCCAGCTGTGAGATTGCATCTCTGACAATCTGGCCCACTACATATCTCCAAGTACAGTGCCCAGAAACAGAATTTTCTAACTTTCATAGCCACTTCTGAAACATTATGACCTAAAAAAAAAGTATTTAACAAAATTTTGTTAATTTAGAGATGATTCAGAGTATTTGTGCAGATATGTATATAGACAAATATAAATTGCTTTATTATGATGTATCATTTTTAGAAAACTGCAAAACTTACGTATTTCGCAGTTTGCACCGACCCATCCATGTGGACAATGGCAGGTGTAACCACCAGGCTGATCTATGCAAGTTCCAGCATGGTGACATGGGTTGCTGTCACAGTCATTTACATTAATTTCACATTCTTCACCTTAGATCAGAAAAAGCAAAACAAACTTCTATATAGCAGGTGCCCCATGTAGCAGGTACATCAGGTATTTAATTTTTCTCTTGTTGCAAAACACCTTGTAGCTCAATAGATGCTTTATTCTCAGAACATCAAAAGTACTCTATAACTGTTTCAAGACTACGGTCTCATGTAGCCTCCAAGAGGGCAATGTTATCCTCACTCCATCAGGTGAAGACCAAGTCTGAGATCCAAGTGACTTGACTAACCTCACTCAGATTATGTGTGACTCATTTCTTTAAATATAAATTCCATCCCAAGAAAATGTGGTGTAACAATTTATTCTGAAGTGCAGCTGAAAGCTAAGTCTTTTTCAAAAAAAGTCCTTTAACTAAACAAATCAAAAAGTACCATTTAATCTACAAAACAGCTATGAATGGGTTTATCTATTGCTATCATATTGGATATTACCTTACACAACTAACAGAGCATTAGGTTGTAAATTATCTTTACAGCAGATATTTGGATTACACCAATCATGTCAGTTTAATTACAAAGCCAGATAATGAAATAGGCTGCTTACCGTTACACCAGAAGTGTAAATTGATTCATAACAAGGACTTTAGGGCTTTTAGCCACTACATACTAAGGTAATGGAATGAGTAGTTTCTTCATCTCACAGTAGCTAAGGTCAATGTTAAAACATTTTCTAGTTTCAACAGTATTCAATTAGTATATTGGCTTACCTGGAAGACTGCAAAATGTTTTTAAAATGCAATCTAATCTCAAGCAGTAAGGCATGTTAAATAGCTTAGTGAATTCTCTTTAGTAACAGGGTTTTTTTTTTCTGCAAAAATTTTAAAGTTCAAAGCAGTTGCAAGTAATATCAAGAACTTTTCATTCTCATAGACATTGCAATTCAGCAAAGTCCAAAGAATTTGCGTCCTTGAAAAGGGTCAGTCTTACATGGTATTTATCTTCTTTTGGACACAGTAAATGCTGACAACTAGACATTCAGTGTGATGTACAAATTACTTGCCTGTATACCCAGGTGCACAAATACATGTAGCATTTAGACCTTCGCTGTCACAAGTGCCACCGTTCTGACAGTTGATGTTAACACAAGGATCTTTGTATAATTCACAGTGCCTTCCTGAAAAGGTAAAATTAGTAATTGCCATTAACACAACCTATATTGACAGAATGAAATCAGTACATGCAATAACTTCAGTTCACCTAGATGAGTGCAATGATGTGCAGCCTCCAAACCTGTCCTATTAGGCTAATGTCCATAAAGACTAAAGCCACATATTTCATGGTGGCTAAACGTTCATATACATCCCTCTTTGTTCTTCCAACCCACTGAGGCTTTGGGACAAGAGAGGTAGAGCAATTTCTGCTAACAAGAACTGCTGGAGTTTCTATGGAAAAACAATGGTATAAAAAAGAATATTCTGGTCAGCTATCTAATACTCTTCAATAAAATATAAACAATAATTGTCTTCAGTAAGAATTTTATGTAATAACTTCTTTAATAATATACATAAGCATTCTGATGCCTCTCATTGACTTTTACAGGAAACTAAGGAGTTTCAATAAGGCAATAAAAAGATAAAATAATTTATTCAAACGTAAAAAGTAAACAATTAAGCTGCTCAGCTGCATGCCACTACATTTGATCTCTCATTCTCAGGTGTAGGCTATGTGAATTTAGCAGCTTTGCCTAGCAGAAGACAGTGCAAGGCATATCTGGCATAGAAAACGTAAAGCACAGCAGATTCCCACTTAGGGACAGGGAAAGA